GTTTAGGTTTTTTTTTTTTTTAATTTTTTTTTTTGTTATTTAATGACCCTTGAGGGGGTCAGGGGCTCAGCTACACCCCCAGGCCTTAGCATAGATAAAATAAATTACAAGGAGGGGGACATAAACCTAACCTCCGATCCTAAGGTGGTTTAGTAGTCGACCAACCTAAAAGGTTAGTCAACTCATCCCCTTACAAAAAGATGAACCTAGAAACTAAGCACCTAAGAGAGGACTCCTCTCGATACAAAGAATCTAGGAATCGTAAATAAGGGAGACTCTCCCTTTACATCACAAAAAAGATAATTTTATACCTATTCAAAAGAGCTATAATTTTAAATCATAGCTAGGTTGAAAAAGTTGGACCGAAACTTAAGGTGGTTCCTTGATCCTCTTAATTTTCCTTCTCCTGAAACTTGCCATTTCAATAATGTCTAGTTGGTAGTATGCCCTTGCTTCCTTCGGTAATTGTTGACTGTTGCAATATATTTGCGAACTTGTGATCTTGTGACTGTGCTTTGATAGGGAATCGGCAACACAATTGGCTTCTCTGAGGATATGTTTGCATCTAAAGTTATGAGTTTGTCTGCTGAGCTCTTGAAGCTGCTGTATCTGTGTGCTAATACTCCATGGAGGCTTGGCTTTTAGCATGATCCAGTCTACAAGCATATGCGAATCCACCTCCAATATGACCCTCGTGTATCCTAGTTGAATTAATCATGTCATACCAAATATGGTTGCTCCAATTTCAGCTTGGTTGTTAGTGCCTTCCCCTAGTGGAGCAGCAAATGCTAGTAACAGTTCTCCAGTTTGATCTCGTATGATGCCTCCTGCTCCAATTCTGCCTGGGTTGTTTAGTGCGCTGCCATCCGTGTTAATTTTGACCCACTGATCTGGAGGTTTTATCCATTGAACTAAAGTCACTTTGGTTTCATGGATACATTTTTCTCCCAGTTGAAATAACTCCTGCCAGTTGGAGGGCCATTTGATTTGAGAGAAAATTGTAGTCATGAGTTTGTAGTTGTCCTTGTAGATAGCATATTTAACTCTACTAACATTGGACAACTTGCCTCCATATTTACTAGCACATCTATTATTCCATAGGTTCCAACAAATGAATATTGGCGTAGCTTGTAATAACAGCTTATGTGCTTTATTGTTGTACTTGGCTGACCACCATTGCGTGATGAGTTGTGGGAGTGAACTGTGATCATTGTTGATACCAGCAGTTCCTGCAAAACTTTTCCACACGTAGGTCGCAAAATGTCCATTGTTGAATATGTGTTCTATAGTATCTAGTCCTGGCCTGTTACAACAACAAAAACAATTTGCAGGCTCAATGCCAAAGCTGGTTAGTTTTTCGTTCGTAGGAAGCTTACCTCGTAGAATTCTCCACAAAAGAAAAGAAGTTTTGAAAGGGATACTCTTATGCCAAATGAATGAATTAAACTTGGTCTTGGTCCTTTTCTCCCTGATCTCATTCCATGCAGATGAACAGCTGAATTTTCCATTCGTATTTGGTTTCCAGATCGCCTGATCAGGTAGGTCCTGCTGGATGTAAAGCTCTGTGGACAGGATGTTGGCCAGCTGACTGTTAGGTGCCTGTTGAATGAGCATGTCCCAATTCCATTGTCCTTCAATCCAAAAATGTGCCACCGTGGTGTTGTTGAATCTGCGACTGACAGTGGAGAAGTGAGCAAGAGGTCCAACCCCGAGCCAATTGTCCCACCAAAAGGAACAATTGCCGGAATTGAGTTTCCATTGAATGTGTTTTTCAACTTTATTTTTGTTATGCATGAGATGTTTCCAAGTCAAAGACTCTCATGTATCCCATTTCTTGCTAATTGGATTAGACCTTTGACAATATTTAGCTTTTAAAAAATCTCCCCAAAGGGTCTGTTTGGATCTAAAAATCCACCATTGTTTATATTGAAAGGCCATGCACACATCCTTGAGATTCCTCATACCAACACCCCCCTCATCATAAGGGAAGCTTAAGTTCTTCCAAGAGGCCCAATGGTATTTTTTCCGCTCATCCTTCCATCCCCAGAAAAAGTCAGCCATGATGCTTTGGATCTGCTTGAGGACAGCAACTGGAGGAGTCACTGCTGATAAGAGGTGAATAGGTAATGACTGCAACACATGTTTTACCAGAATTGCTCTACCACCATAACTTAATAATTTGGTTTGCCATCCTGTGATTCTGCACAAAACCTTATTAATAAGATCAGCAAAATAAATAATCCTCGGTCTACCAACAAATAAAGGGCAACCAAGGTAAGTGATGGGGCCCTCCTTCTGTTTGAAACCAGTGATTTTCTTGATTCTGTCTCTTGTACTGTTGAATGCGCATGAATGAACCATAAAGTGACTTTTGTCTCTGTTAATCAGTTGTCCTGAGGTCTCCTCATAGGAATTCAAAGTCTGCATAATGAGTTTCAATGTTTTCTGTCTTCCTGAAGTGAAGAGAATGATATCATCTGCAAAACTTAAATGGTTCACTTGTGGGCCTCTGACTTCCATGAAAAAACCATGATATTCCGGATTGTTATGGAGCCTGTTCAGGGATCTAGAAAGGACCTCCTCACCTAAAATAAATAGGGCAGGAGATAAGGGGTCCCCTTGTTTGAGACCTCTTGTAGATTGAAAGAAGCCATATCTTTTTCCATTGACAATAATAGAGTACCAATTGTTAGACATGATCCTCCAAACCATATCGATAAAGATTTCATCAAACCCCAGTCTTCTCAACACCAAGCATATATAGGACCAAGAAACCCTAACCCCATTCTTCTCAACACCAAGCATATATAGGACCAAGAAACCCTTTCGTATGCTTTAGCCATGTCCAGTTTAATAATAACATTACTACCAATATTTGGTTTCTTAATCTGATGGATAATCTCTTGGGCCAGCATAATGTTTTCTGATATACTTCTCCCTTTGACAAAACCAGATTGGTTGAGGGAAACCAGGTTAGGTAGGATAGGACTTAGTCTAGAACTTACTAGTTTAGATATGATCTTGCTAGTGAAGTTACTAAGGCTTATGGGCCTGAATTCTGTGATCTTATTGGGGTTGTTCACCTTAGGAAGAAGAATAATGCAAGAGTGAGAGAAGTATTTGGGGATCATTTGACCACAAAAGAAAGCTTGAATGACACCAAGGAGATCATGTTTGATAATAGGCCAGCATTTCTGAAAAAAATAACCATTTATCCCATCCGGACCAGCTGCAGAATAAGGGTTCATTGAGAACACTACCTCCTTTAATTCTTCCAGATCAGGCATTGTAGTGAGGCTATCATTCTGCTCCTGATTGACCATCCTAGGAATACAACCAATGTTCCCTTCATTAATGAACTTATTGTCCCCTGTGAAGATATTCTGGAAATGATCACAGGCAGTCTTAGCAATAGTATCATCTCCCTGTAACCATTTCCCATCATCTCCGATAAGCTTGTGAATAAACAACCTTCTTCTTCTCCCTCTTATCAAGGAGTGAAAGTATTTAGTGTTGGCATCCCCCTCCTTGAACCATTGTAGTTGGGTTTTCTGTTTCAAAATAGAATCTTCCAACTTCAAAAATTTAATGTATTCTGCATTAAGCTCATGAAGGGCTGTCCTGTTGGTACCACTGTTCTCTTGAATCAGTTTCTCTTCTGCATTTCTGACCTTTTCTTCATACTCCTTGACTTTAGTGAAAATGTCACCAAATTCCCTTCTGGACCAGTTGCTAAGAGTATTGGACAACCTTTTCAATTTCTGGTGAAATCTCCACATGTTGTTCCCCTCTACAGTCCTTTCCCAACAGGCTTTCACTATGTCGAAAAAATCAGGTTGGCCAGTCTAGCAATTAAGGAACTTAAAGTACCTGATATGATCCTCTTCCCTAGCAGTCATTTCCATCAGCAGGGGGCAGTGATCAGATCCCACTGAAGGTAAGTGAGTGATGGTAGTCTGAGGCATCCTTTCCAGCCATGAATCAGTAACTAAAGCTCTGTCCAGCCTTTTCCATATTCTCTGTTGTATGCCCCTATTGTTGGACCAAGTAAATTTTTGTCCACTGAAGCCTAAATCCACCAAACCACAAGCTTCGATTACAGCAATGAATTCTAGACTTTTTCTCATGTTGTACGGGACTCCTCCCAGCTTTTCTTCAATAGAAGTAATAACATTATAATCACCCACTGAGCACCAAGGCTTGTTATTTTCAGCAGCTTGATATAACATTCTATCCCATAATGGTCTTCTGAGGTGATCTTTGCACTTGGCATACACAAATGTAATAGTGAAGTGATTTTGAAGTTCATTATGGCCAATGTCACAAGTAATTTGTTGCTCATCTTCCTCTATTATTACACAATCAATGTCCATGTTCCAAAAAAGCCAAATTTTGCCATTGCGATTACTCACGGCATACTCCATAGCTAATTGGTACTTAAAACTTTGAATATGGGTACTGTCTGAGAAAGGTTCAAGGATAGCAATGATAGAGAGTTGGTGCATCTTCTTGAGTATTTTGAGTCGTTCAATTACACCTTGAGTGTTGATCCCCCTCACATTCCAAATAACTGTACTAATCATTGAGATGATCTGGAGGTGAACAACCTAGTGTTTGGTCTGCCAGCAGTGACAGTGTTTATGTCTTGAGCTTCAAATTGGAATCTATCATGATGTATTCCTCGGGGAGATAATCCCTGATTATTAATTACCTGTTGAACTTCATTTGCAAGGCTTTTGTCCGGATGAGGACTAAAAGCTCTAATCAGTGCCTCACTAGTCTCATCATCTTCATCAGGGTCCTTGAGTGATTGATTATCCACATCGAGTTCATCCTCTGAGTTATCAACAGCATATTCATCAAATATAGGACCTTTGTTCATATGACACTTTTCAGACATTTTATCTGGAGGGACATTATGAGGAGGATTCATATAATGGGTTTGTAGAGGAGTAATATCCATGCCCTGATGCTCATCAACCATAATAAACTTCTTGCAACTTTCCCCTTCCATTTGTTGTTTCCCCTGTTGATCAATGTCTTGTTGTATGTTTTGTCTCTTTTTTGAAGTTTCTCTCCTTTTTTTGCAAGGTTTGTTCTTGCTTTTGGGAGTGGTCCCTTGGGTGCTAGTACTTGCTTTGGCCCCCATATCTTTTGCCATAGATCCCTTGTTTTGTTTACCCGCAGTTCTTGCTTCCCCTTGTTGTTTTTCTATAAAATTTTCAGCATTAATTTGTTTTCTTGCCTCTGTTTGATCATGCTGCTGTACCTGTTGCTGGTATGAGTTAAGGTGCTGGCTTGTAGTGGTAGCAGGAGTTCTAAGGTCTGAATTATGGTCAAGGTGTGTACCCTCATGCAGAACATGAGACAAATGCCCCCCTTTGGAACCCCTTTCCTGCATGTTAGTATTCCACACGTAGGTCGCAAAATGTCCATTGTTGAATATGTGTTCTATAGTATCTAGTCCTGGCCTGTTACAACAACAAAAACAATTTGCAGGCTCAATGCCAAAGCTGGTTAGTTTTTCGTTCGTAGGAAGCTTACCTCGTAGAATTCTCCACAAAAGAAAAGAAGTTTTGAAAGGGATACTCTTATGCCAAATGAATGAATTAAACTTGGTCTTGGTCCTTTTCTCCCTGATCTCATTCCATGCAGATGAACAGCTGAATTTTCCATTCGTATTTGGTTTCCAGATCGCCTGATCAGGTAGGTCCTGCTGGATGTAAAGCTCTGTGGACAGGATGTTGGCCAGCTGACTGTTAGGTGCCTGTTGAATGAGCATGTCCCAATTCCATTGTCCTTCAATCCAAAAATGTGCCACCGTGGTGTTGTTGAATCTGCGACTGACAGTGGAGAAGTGAGCAAGAGGTCCAACCCCGAGCCAATTGTCCCACCAAAAGGAACAATTGCCGGAATTGAGTTTCCATTGAATGTGTTTTTCAACTTTATTTTTGTTATGCATGAGATGTTTCCAAGTCAAAGACTCTCATGTATCCCATTTCTTGCTAATTGGATTAGACCTTTGACAATATTTAGCTTTTAAAAAATCTCCCCAAAGGGTCTGTTTGGATCTAAAAATCCACCATTGTTTATATTGAAAGGCCATGCACACATCCTTGAGATTCCTCATACCAACACCCCCCTCATCATAAGGGAAGCTTAAGTTCTTCCAAGAGGCCCAATGGTATTTTTTCCGCTCATCCTTCCATCCCCAGAAAAAGTCAGCCATGATGCTTTGGATCTGCTTGAGGACAGCAACTGGAGGAGTCACTGCTGATAAGAGGTGAATAGGTAATGACTGCAACACATGTTTTACCAGAATTGCTCTACCACCATAACTTAATAATTTGGTTTGCCATCCTGTGATTCTGCACAAAACCTTATTAATAAGATCAGCAAAATAAATAATCCTCGGTCTACCAACAAATAAAGGGCAACCAAGGTAAGTGATGGGGCCCTCCTTCTGTTTGAAACCAGTGATTTTCTTGATTCTGTCTCTTGTACTGTTGAATGCGCATGAATGAACCATAAAGTGACTTTTGTCTCTGTTAATCAGTTGTCCTGAGGTCTCCTCATAGGAATTCAAAGTCTGCATAATGAGTTTCAATGTTTTCTGTCTTCCTGAAGTGAAGAGAATGATATCATCTGCAAAACTTAAATGGTTCACTTGTGGGCCTCTGACTTCCATGAAAAAACCATGATATTCCGGATTGTTATGGAGCCTGTTCAGGGATCTAGAAAGGACCTCCTCACCTAAAATAAATAGGGCAGGAGATAAGGGGTCCCCTTGTTTGAGACCTCTTGTAGATTGAAAGAAGCCATATCTTTTTCCATTGACAATAATAGAGTACCAATTGTTAGACATGATCCTCCAAACCATATCGATAAAGATTTCATCAAACCCCATTCTTCTCAACACCAAGCATATATAGGACCAAGAAACCCTTTCGTATGCTTTAGCCATGTCCAGTTTAATAATAACATTACTACCAATATTTGGTTTCTTAATCTGATGGATAATCTCTTGGGCCAGCATAATGTTTTCTGATATACTTCTCCCTTTGACAAAACCAGATTGGTTGAGGGAAACCAGGTTAGGTAGGATAGGACTTAGTCTAGAACTTACTAGTTTAGATATGATCTTGCTAGTGAAGTTACTAAGGCTTATGGGCCTGAATTCTGTGATCTTATTGGGGTTGTTCACCTTAGGAAGAAGAATAATGCAAGAGTGAGAGAAGTATTTGGGGATCATTTGACCACAAAAGAAAGCTTGAATGACACCAAGGAGATCATGTTTGATAATAGGCCAGCATTTCTGAAAAAAATAACCATTTATCCCATCCGGACCAGCTGCAGAATAAGGGTTCATTGAGAACACTACCTCCTTTAATTCTTCCAGATCAGGCATTGTAGTGAGGCTATCATTCTGCTCCTGATTGACCATCCTAGGAATACAACCAATGTTCCCTTCATTAATGAACTTATTGTCCCCTGTGAAGATATTCTGGAAATGATCACAGGCAGTCTTAGCAATAGTATCATCTCCCTGTAACCATTTCCCATCATCTCCGATAAGCTTGTGAATAAACAACCTTCTTCTTCTCCCTCTTATCAAGGAGTGAAAGTATTTAGTGTTGGCATCCCCCTCCTTGAACCATTGTAGTTGGGTTTTCTGTTTCAAAATAGAATCTTCCAACTTCAAAAATTTAATGTATTCTGCATTAAGCTCATGAAGGGCTGTCCTGTTGGTACCACTGTTCTCTTGAATCAGTTTCTCTTCTGCATTTCTGACCTTTTCTTCATACTCCTTGACTTTAGTGAAAATGTCACCAAATTCCCTTCTGGACCAGTTGCTAAGAGTATTGGACAACCTTTTCAATTTCTGGTGAAATCTCCACATGTTGTTCCCCTCTACAGTCCTTTCCCAACAGGCTTTCACTATGTCGAAAAAATCAGGTTGGCCAGTCTAGCAATTAAGGAACTTAAAGTACCTGATATGATCCTCTTCCCTAGCAGTCATTTCCATCAGCAGGGGGCAGTGATCAGATCCCACTGAAGGTAAGTGAGTGATGGTAGTCTGAGGCATCCTTTCCAGCCATGAATCAGTAACTAAAGCTCTGTCCAGCCTTTTCCATATTCTCTGTTGTATGCCCCTATTGTTGGACCAAGTAAATTTTTGTCCACTGAAGCCTAAATCCACCAAACCACAAGCTTCGATTACAGCAATGAATTCTAGACTTTTTCTCATGTTGTACGGGACTCCTCCCAGCTTTTCTTCAATAGAAGTAATAACATTATAATCACCCACTGAGCACCAAGGCTTGTTATTTTCAGCAGCTTGATATAACATTCTATCCCATAATGGTCTTCTGAGGTGATCTTTGCACTTGGCATACACAAATGTAATAGTGAAGTGATTTTGAAGTTCATTATGGCCAATGTCACAAGTAATTTGTTGCTCATCTTCCTCTATTATTACACAATCAATGTCCATGTTCCAAAAAAGCCAAATTTTGCCATTGCGATTACTCACGGCATACTCCATAGCTAATTGGTACTTAAAACTTTGAATATGGGTACTGTCTGAGAAAGGTTCAAGGATAGCAATGATAGAGAGTTGGTGCATCTTCTTGAGTATTTTGAGTCGTTCAATTACACCTTGAGTGTTGATCCCCCTCACATTCCAAATAACTGTACTAATCATTGAGATGATCTGGAGGTGAACAACCTAGTGTTTGGTCTGCCAGCAGTGACAGTGTTTATGTCTTGAGCTTCAAATTGGAATCTATCATGATGTATTCCTCGGGGAGATAATCCCTGATTATTAATTACCTGTTGAACTTCATTTGCAAGGCTTTTGTCCGGATGAGGACTAAAAGCTCTAATCAGTGCCTCACTAGTCTCATCATCTTCATCAGGGTCCTTGAGTGATTGATTATCCACATCGAGTTCATCCTCTGAGTTATCAACAGCATATTCATCAAATATAGGACCTTTGTTCATATGACACTTTTCAGACATTTTATCTGGAGGGACATTATGAGGAGGATTCATATAATGGGTTTGTAGAGGAGTAATATCCATGCCCTGATGCTCATCAACCATAATAAACTTCTTGCAACTTTCCCCTTCCATTTGTTGTTTCCCCTGTTGATCAATGTCTTGTTGTATGTTTTGTCTCTTTTTTGAAGTTTCTCTCCTTTTTTTGCAAGGTTTGTTCTTGCTTTTGGGAGTGGTCCCTTGGGTGCTAGTACTTGCTTTGGCCCCCATATCTTTTGCCATAGATCCCTTGTTTTGTTTACCCGCAGTTCTTGCTTCCCCTTGTTGTTTTTCTATAAAATTTTCAGCATTAATTTGTTTTCTTGCCTCTGTTTGATCATGCTGCTGTACCTGTTGCTGGTATGAGTTAAGGTGCTGGCTTGTAGTGGTAGCAGGAGTTCTAAGGTCTGAATTATGGTCAAGGTGTGTACCCTCATGCAGAACATGAGACAAATGCCCCCCTTTGGAACCCCTTTCCTGCATGTTAGTATGTTTCTCCTGACATCCCCCATCCATCCCTCCTTCAACTTCAACAATACCATTAAGATAAGAAGTATTGGGGTTTTTGGGAATTGGGAGCATTGAGTCAATACCTGTGCTCGTGTTATTAACCTTGTTTCCTGTTTGTATGGCCTGTGATTTTTGGTTATGATCTGCTTTAGACCTGTTCTGTGCACCATGTGTTGACACCCCTGCATCACTGTTAGGCTCCTGCGTTTCTGCATTTTGTTTTTCCTGCATGTTAAGGTTAGTAAAAGAATTATGATTAGAGGTGTTGGTTGTACCTGTCTGCTGAGTTGTGTTCTGTGGTTGCTCTTCTGTCACTCTGCTCTGTGTTGAGGTTGGTCTCCACACTGTTTTCTGCATTCTTTCTTCCTGTGATTTGTTGTTTTTCCTTCTTTGTACTTGCCATTCCTCCTCCTTTTGCTGCTCAGTTTGTTGGTGGTTGTTTCCTTCTTTGCTGTGTTGCTGTTGTTGCTCCTCCTTTTCCATGGTTTTGGTTTGTCTATTGTCTTTACTTTGTTGAACCTGTTCACAGTTACTTTTGCTTTTCCTTTCTGTTTCTAACTCTTTCCTCCTTTTGAATTCTCCATCCCTTATTTTGAAGTTACACTCATCTATCCTGTGGCCCTGGTGTCTGCAATATGTACAGTAGGGAGGGATATTCTCATATTCAATCGATTGCCATCTCCCTATAGTGAGATCCTCGTCATCCAAACCAATCTAGACATGTCTAGGTCTTGTCTTGGTAAGATCCACTTGAACTTTTACCTTGGCCATACTAGCTCTAGTTCTTTTGATAGAAGCTGTATCTAGGTATAAAACTTTGCCCACAGAATCTAGAAGAGGTGTGATGAATTCCTTTTTGAAGCAGTGCCATGGTAGACCTGGCAGTAGTACCCATATAGGAACAATAGGTGTTTCTTCCTCCGGTCTAAAATTGGGAGTCCAAGCCTGTATTCTCATAAGTTTGCCCTCAATGGTCATTCTTTGTTGTGTCCAAACAGTGTTATAGTCCAATTCGTTCTCCAAATCAATAAACACATGTCTAGCATTATAATGAGCAATGTTGAGCCCCCCATTCAGCTGAGTTTGTAAAATGAAGCTTTTCCTGATGAGTTCAATTTTCGGCATGGTGGTGCTGAATTTACCTATAAGGGTATATTTACAGTCCACAGTCAATTTGTTCATGAAGTCATCCATATTGTAAATCACCGCAGGTTGGCCCTGTTTAGTAGTGTGTCTGGGAGGGACCAACTCTATAGAAGTAGCTTGAGAAGCATGGACTTGCCTAAGTCTTGCAGCCAACGTTTGTACCACAGTATAAGGGGCAGGTTCTGTATTCTGTTCCTGTTTGGATTTTTGGTTCTCATTAAGATTGCTAGGGTCTTTGGTTTGGTTAGGATTATCCGCTTGTTGATCCTTTTGATTGGAATTGGTATGCCTATCAAAGTTGCTGGATATTTTAGGGAAATCCTTGTGGTAGTTATTAGGTACAGAATTGCCCCCGTGATCAGTTAAAAGAGGCTGACTTTTATTTTGTACACTATTGTGATTTCGATCAGCCTGCTGTTTGGATTCAGTTTCCCCCTTGTCCTGTTCCTGACTATTCAATTTGGTATTCATTTGTCTCTTTGCATTATCATTCACATGATCATCACTACTACTCAGGCTAACAACATCATGACCAGAATTAGAATGAGAAGACTTACCTGCTTGTTTGCCATCCACACTCGAATATTTTCTTTGTGCAATGGTCTCCATTGTCTGCTGCTTCTGTATATGATCATCAACGAATTCATTAGTATAGTTAATGGATTTACCTATTCTCTGTTGTCCTTCATTGTGTGGAATTGTATCCGTTGGCTTAACTCCAAATGAGAAGTGAGACGAACTTTCCACTTCAATTACTTCCAAAGCTGAAGACCATGTATTGTCCTGCTGATCATTTTGGTCCTGCATTATGTTTGTGTTTCCTTGCTTTGAATTCATCTCCATTCGTTGTTCCTCCATTGAGTGTTGGTCCTGTTTTTGACCCTTAGGTCCTGCATGATCTTGGAAATATGTCCCCTTCTTTTCTGCTTCAGTTCTGCCATTGAGTTCTTCAAGCTCAACTTGTTGATTGTTCATGGAGGTATCTAAACTTGGTTGAATTTCATTAGGGATGTATGCTTGAGGTATATTGATGGATATATTAGTAAGGTGGACCTCTTTATTCATATAATCATCTCCTTTAGCAGAACCACCGTCAGTTTTCGATTTTTCAGTAGCTTGCTCACCGGAGTTCTTGTCGCCGGTGATTGGACCGTCCATTTTACTTGAGATTTCTGTGAGATGTACCTCTTCACCAGGTGAACAATCCCCAGTGGTCAAATCGCCATGAAATTGGTGGGAAATTGGACGAATCTGAAGGCGCAGTTCAGGCGATTTTTCAGTGAATTTCTCAGAAATCACCTCCTCAGATCTCGCAATTGGCCCGATGGAATCATGTGATTTCTTTGTATGTTGTAGTCCTTGATTAGTAGAATCATTCCCACTAAATAGCTTTCGTTGAATCAGCTCCGTGCGTTCTGGGGAAATAATTTTTTGAATCCCGTCCAGCTCCATTCCTGAAATCGCGATATTCATCGCCTCTGTATTTCGCGGTTTCGTGGAGTTGTAGGATGAATTAGATGTTGATTCACGGTGGGTTTTGTTCGTCTTCTCCAGGCGCCTCTGATGGCTTTGGTCTGGCGGCCTGTAAAGGCTCACCGGCGGCTCACGCACCATTCCGGCTGGAGAGCTAGCCGTTGGAGCTGTAGCTGCTGTGTAATTTTTTTGAGAAAGTTCCGCTAGAGAGGGGAATTCGAGAGAGAAAAAAATTGGAGAATGGGGAAGCGATGGGGTTTGGGGTTTAGGGTCTAGGGTCTAGGGTCTAGGGTCTAGGGTCTAGGGTCCAGGGTCCAGGGTTCAGGGTTCAAGGTTCAGGTTTCAGGGTGCAGGGTCCAGGGTCCAGGGTCCAGGGTTCAGGGTTCAGGGTTCAGGTTTCAGGGTCCAGGGTCCAGGGTCCAGGGTCCAGGGTTCAGGGTTCAGGGTCTAGGGTCTGGGGTCTAGGGTCTAGGGTCTAGGGTGTAAGGTGTAGGGTATAGGGTTTAGGGTTTAGGGTGTAGGGTATAGGGTGTATGGTGTAGGGTCCAGGGTGTAGGGTCCAGGGTCCAGGGTCCAGGGTCCCGGGTTCAGGGTTCAGGGCTCAGGGTTCAGGGTTCAGGGTTCAGGGATCAGGGTTCAGGGTTCAGGGTTCAGGGATCAGGGTTCAGGGTTCAGGGTTCAGGGATCAGGGTTCAGGGTTCAGGGTTCAGGGATCAGGGTTCAGGGTTCAGGGTTCAGGGATCAGGGTTCAGGGTTCAGGGTTCAGGGATCAGGGTTCAGGGTTCAGGGTTCAGGGATCAGGGTTCAGGGTTCAGGGTTCAGGGATCAGGGTTCAGGGTTCAGGGTTCAGGGATCAGGGTTCAGGGTTCAGGGTTCAGGGATCAGGGTTCAGGGTTCAGGGTTCAGGGATCAGGGTTCAGGGTTCAGGGTTCAGGGATCAGGGTTCAGGGTTCAGGGTTCAGGGATCAGGGTTCAGGGTTCAGGGTTCAGGGATCAGGGTTCAGGGTTCAGGGTTCAGGGATCAGGGTTCAGGGTTCAGGGTTCAGGGATCAGGGTTCAGGGTTCAGGGTTCAGGGATCAGGGTTCAGGGTTCAGGGTTCAGGGATCAGGGTTCAGGGTTCAGGGTTCAGGGATCAGGGTTCAGGGTTCAGGGTTCAGGGATCAGGGTTCAGGGTTCAGGGTTCAGGGATCAGGGTTCAGGGTTCAGGGTTCAGGGTTCAGGGTTCAGGGTTCAGGGTTCAGGGTTCAGGGTTCAGGGTTCAGGGTTCAGGGTTCAGGGTTCAGGGTTCAGGGTTCAGGGTTCAGGGTTCAGGGTTCAGGGTTCAGGGTTCAGGGTTCAGGGTTCAGGGTTCAGGGTTCAGGGTTCAGGGTTCAGGGTTCAGGGTTCAGGGTTCAGGGTTCAGGGTTCAGGGTTCAGGGTTCAGGGTTCAGGGTTCAGGGTTCAGGGTTCAGGGTTCAGGGTTCAGGGTTCAGGGTTCAGGGTTCAGGGTTCAGGGTTCAGGGTTCAGGGTTCAGGGTTCAGGGTTCAGGGTTCAGGGTTCAGGGTTCAGGGTTCAGGGTTCAGGGTTCAGGGTTCAGGGTTCAGGGTTCAGGGTTCAGGGTTCAGGGTTCAGGGTTCAGGGTTCAGGGTTCAGGGTTCAGGGTTCAGGGTTCAGGGTTCAGGGTTCAGGGTTCAGGGTTCAGGGTTCAGGGTTCAGGGTTCAGGGTTCAGGGTTCAGGGTTCAGGGTTCAGGGTTCAGGGTTCAGGGTTCAGGGTTCAGGGTTCAGGGTTCAGGGTTCAGGGTTCAGGGTTCAGGGTTCAGGGTTCAGGGTTCAGGGTTCAGGGTTCAGGGTTCAGGGTTCAGGGTTCAGGGTTCAGGGTTCAGGGTTCAGGGTTCAGGGTTCAGGGTTCAGGGTTCAGGGTTCAGGGTTCAGGGTTCAGGGTTCAGGGTTCAGGGTTCAGGGTTCAGGGTTCAGGGTTCAGGGTTCAGGGTTCAGGGTTCAGGGTTCAGGGTTCAGGGTTCAGGGTTCAGGGTTCAGGGTTCAGGGTTCAGGGTTCAGGGTTCAGGGTTCAGGGTTCAGGGTTCAGGGTTCAGGGTTCAGGGTTCAGGGTTCAGGGTTCAGGGTTCAGGGTTCAGGGTTCAGGGTTCAGGGTTCAGGGTTCAGGGTTCAGGGTTCAGGGTTCAGGGTTCAGGGTTCAGGGTTCAGGGTTCAGGGTTCAGGGTTCAGGGTTCAGGGTTCAGGGTTCAGGGTTCAGGGTTCAGGGTTCAGGGTTCAGGGTTCAGGGTTCAGGGTTCAGGGTTCAGGGTTCAGGGTTCAGGGTTCAGGGTTCAGGGTTCAGGGTTCAGGGTTCAGGGTTCAGGGTTCAGGGTTCAGGGTTCAGGGTTCAGGGTTCAGGGTTCAGGGTTCAGGGTTCAGGGTTCAGGGTTCAGGGTTCAGGGTTCAGGGTTCAGGGTTCAGGGTTCAGGGTTCAGGGTTCAGGGTTCAGGGTTCAGGGTTCAGGGTTCAGGGTTCAGGGTTCAGGGTTCAGGGTTCAGGGTTCAGGGTTCAGGGTTCAGGGTTCAGGGTTCAGGGTTCAGGGTTCAGGGTTCAGGGTTCAGGGTTCAGGGTTCAGGGTTCAGGGTTCAGGGTTCAGGGTTCAGGGTTCAGGGTTCAGGGTTCAGGGTTCAGGGTTCAGGGTTCAGGGTTCAGGGTTCAGGGTTCAGGGTTCAGGGTTCAGGGTTCAGGGTTCAGGGTTCAGGGTTCAGGGTTCAGGGTTCAGGGTTCAGGGTTCAGGGTTCAGGGTTCAGGGTTCAGGGTTCAGGGTTCAGGGTTCAGGGTTCAGGGTTCAGGGTTCAGGGTTCAGGGTTCAGGGTTCAGGGTTCAGGGTTCAGGGTTCAGGGTTC